TTTTTTTTTTTTTTTTTTTTTTTTTTTTTTTTTTTTTTTTTTTTTTTAAAACACAACAGGTGATGATGTAAACCTTGACCATGCCTACATCTGGAATAATGTTCACATTGCCAGCAACGTGAGGATCAGCCAGTCTGTGGTCTGTGACAAGGCAGAGATCAAAGAAGGCGTGAATCTGAATAAACAGTGTGTCCTGGCGTATAATGTAAGCAATGCATGTATTTTTATTATTTATTCTTCATTACAATTAGCTTGTATTTCAAATAAGTGAGTTTGCAAAGCTGCTGTTCACATTAAAGATGAACTGACAGTTCAACTGATTGCATCACTTGCACACCAGCCGACAATCCAACTGCTTTCATCTCTTACTTTTCAACTGACATTTTAACGTCTTTCATCTTGTATCTTTAGATGAAAGTTAAAAAAAACTTTCAGTGAATACCCTTAAATTTACAGTTCAACTGTTTTCAGCACTTTCACTTCAACTGAACCGTTAACTCATCGCAGCGATTCACGTTCAAATTGACAACTGCTTCAACTAGAACTAGTACAACAACATACGATGTTTTTAAATGACTGACATTTAATCTTATTTACATTTTTACCTTGTTTCAAAAGCTCATTCAGACATTGAAACTGTTTCAACCACTAACTCTTATTAGCCAGCATATATATATATATATATATATAAATCCACCACTTTCCGTGAATCCATGAGTATCTAGCACATCACTTATTTTGCTGGGAACTGTTTTCAAGGTGGTGATTGGACCAAACGTCTCTCTCCCTGAGGGCACTGTGGTGTCCATGCACCATCCAGACGAGGAGGAAGAGGAGGATGATGATGATGAATTCCTGAGTGACGATGCCGCGGTTGGTCACAGCAAAGACAAAACCAAACTGAAAGGTGTGTATTGAGTGTGTACCGGCGTGTGCGTGAATGATATAAAATGCTTAAGTGTTTGTGGTAATGAGCGGCTGTCCTGTGCTCCAGTGTTTAACCCAGCAGAGGTTGGAGCCGAGGGAAAAGGCTACATCTGGAAGGCCAACAGTCTGGATGACACAGAGGATGAAGAGCTGGCGCAGTGTCTCTGGGGTAGGATAGCGTCATAGTAAGAACAAAAAGAAAATCCCATGATGCTGTGGTCCGTGTCCCAGCAGCCTGGCTTTTGGTTCCTGTGCAACAGGTTTGGTGTTGAATCCGGACCCCGAGAGTGAAAGTGAGGACAGCGAGCCCGATGATCCTGATGACCCTGTGATCCCCTCCCCCGAGATGGATGATGTCAAAGGTGAGTCTGTGTGTGGAACCATGTGACTGCCCTCTACTGGCCCAAGAGACAAAATGAACAACAACAAAACCAGCGATCAATCTGATTACTCCCAGAAAATTGATTGTGCAACTAACTATAATTTGCATCACAGATTAACCTGTTGACTTTTTTATTTGTATTAATGTATAATTGTCTTTAAAATGTCAATGTTATTGATTCAATCATCCTGTTGTTTTAGCGTTGTGTCACACACTGATTGCTGAGCAGTAGCCTTTAAAACCTTTTCATTCAAAATCATTTTACATGAACATTTCTTTCTTCTAGAGCTTTTCCCTGAAACACAAAAACTATTACACTCATCATCTTTTGTAGCCTATTTTTGAGGTAATTTAGGAATATAATTCACACTTTTGTCTCAAGTTCGATCCCATAATTCTAAGCTGCTGTATATTCCTAGTAATCTCCAAGGAAGTGTCTTGCAAATTCTAGGGTGAGATATCTTAACTGAGAGTCTGTGCCACATCAGTTGGAAGCTTTCGAGTAAAAAGTATTTGGAAATAACAAATCTATGAAATAGGGTTACCATCTGTCACAATATGAAAGTCTCTCTGGGCTCTGAGTTTCTGTTTTTTAATGCGTGAGGACTTCAGCCTCTCTGTTGTGTGTTTGGGCTGAGACGTCCTCCTCTCTGACTCTTCTTCGTTGGTCTGTCCATGTGTAGTCTTCCAGCTGGAGGTGCTCGGGACTCTGCAGAGAGGTTTGGAGGAAAACATCGGCTTTGACAATCTCATACTTGAGATCAACTCTCTCAAGTAAGGAAGGACTTAAAATTGCCCGCAGTTCTATTGCCGCTTTTGCACTTTCAGTTTGACACACTCTTTCTCTTCAGGTACGCCTACAACATCACCCTGAAAGAGGTGATGCAGATTCTAACCAGAGTGGTGCTGGAGTACCCTTTCCAGCAGCAGGGCCCCCAGCTTACCCCATCACAATACGTTGCTCTGCTCCTACCGGTAAATGCATCTTACGTGTGTCAAGTGTGGGCACGATGGAAGCAAAGATCCTCAATATTTAGTTTACACTTTTGTCTTTGTCCGTCTCGCAGTTACTGAAGAAGTGGGCGCCGGTGTTTAAGAACTATGTGAAGAGAGCACAGGACCATCTAGACTGTCTGTCTGCCTTTGAGGAACACTTCCTGGAGCAGGAGAGCCACTGGGCTGCTATGGTCAAGGTCAGGGTCGATCAGCGCTACCGTTCAGTAATCTGCTGACTGCTGAGAAACGTATTCTGCATTTTGCTCTGCGTTCACCAAGTACCTGGTGCTGAAGATGCTGTGGGTATTTGTTCTCCCCCCCTCCCCCCTCATCCAGGTCCTGATGAACATGTACGAGCTGGAGATCCTGGAGGAGGAGACGATACTACGCTGGTTCTCGCAGGGAGCCACCACCGACAAGAGCAAGCAGCTCCGCAAGAACCAGGGGGTAGGTACAGGGTGAGCCGGGTCACACAGATTATTATTATGACGTCATTGCAGTTATACAATAACGGGTGGAAGTTTGGATGTGGTAAGATGGTGGGATATAAAGCATTAGAAAATGATTCAAAACAATCTAGAGGAATATTAATACAAACTATGTATGGGGGACCAAACCAGACTTTTAAGGAAAGAAGAAAAACATCATTCACATGGTTGGGTTTTTCAAAGAGGAATATGTTCACTCACCTGACCTGTCTAGCAGTGTGTGTTGCTGTTTATTTGACTCAATAAGAGTCGCCCCCATTATTTTACATTTGAATAAATCACATCACAACCCAATGTGCCTTTTAGACATTTCCCTAATCACTTGAAAGTATTTGTTTTTTGTACCTATGTGAGCATTTTAGCGATTGCGATAGAGTTGCAGAAGCTTTCTCACAACCCCACTGTCCCTGTCACGTTTATCTCCAACAGCTACAGAAGTTCATCCAGTGGCTGAAGGAGGCTGAGGAGTCTTCAGAGGAGGAAGGGGAATAACGAGGAGTGCTTAAAAGAAAGGACAACGTTTAAAACTGTTGTTTGGATAAAGGGATTCAGGCAGTTGGTTTTACCCTCCATGGCAGCTTTCTACCACTAATATCCACCCGGATCTTCTCTGTACAGTTCAAGCTGACATACATTTGATCACATAGTGCCACGTCATGTAAGGGCTGTGTGCTGTGAATGCCAACATCCAAATAAAGAAGAAAGTCCCTCAGACTGCCTGGAGATGTATCATCTGTCAACAACACAAACTGTCTCACTCAGTGTTAGAATAGAACAGTTGCTTCAATGTTTTATTAAATACAAACATCACTTAAAAAAAAAAAAAAAAAAGATTGTGTACAACAGTAATTGGCTTTCTTTTGTGTACAAGCTGAACAGTGACTGCAAGTCATTAAACAGTCAAAACAATGATTTAAAAGGTAGAATTTCACTACAAAATGAATGACTGCAGAACAAATAGGAGATAGCTTAGAGGACACATGAATGTGTTTTTGCTGCTGTGCACCATTAGACCGACGGGGATTTCATCTTGCATCATTCACCCCCTATGAAGTGGACTCTGTTCGGCCTAAAGACCTTCGAATTATTGTCTTCATCAGACTGAGCTGCCACACGGTCAGGTGTATAGAGAGCTTCAACAAGATAATAACGATGTGGTTCATTAAGTACGGCGGTCCAGAGGGGTGAAACGGATCAACACTGGATAAAACACATCAAAATATTTAAAATAATATGTAAGAAAACTTTGGTTCTGTCTTATTTCAAACAAGAATTGTCGCTTTTGTCTTTTGTAAAATGTCTGTTTTGTTAATTTGTTTTCAGTTTTGTTGCGTTTTCTAAAATGTTATTGTGCTTTCTGTGTTTCTAATATGTTTCTTCCAATATTTGACTAATATTCTTGGCGTCAGGGCGGTTCTGTGGAATCCGAGATAAAACACCTGAGGCAGTATTGGGACACCCAAAAAAGCCGTCACACAGCTATTGAAGCTGTTCAACCTGCAGCGTCCACGTGCACAGGCCTACTTTGATCTGTCGTCCCGATTCCCCACGAGGCCGTAAAGGATTCTGGCTAGAAGAGAAGCCCCCGTGATGCCCGTAACAGCGGTCAGCATCTTCCACAAGCTGGCCGATCTCTCGTGCCTGTCCATGAAGCTCCTGTAGTCAGTGGGCTCCAGGATGTACTTGCGGCCGTCGTGCGGGGCCTGCAGCCTCATCACCTGACCCCCCTCCAGCACCACCTCGCCAAAGCCGGTCAGGGTGCTCCCCACCCGCAGCAGCTCCTCGCTCTCCTCCATCGCCTCCGGTTTCTCCCCGTTGAGGCCCTGCAGCACCACGTTCACCAGGCCCCCCTCAGCATGTCTTACATTGTAATAAACCCTGTCCAGGTAGAACCCAGAGGCCTCCAGAGGGTTCTGAATCTTCACATACAAGTCAGTCATGTAGGCGCCAGGGCTGACCAGACTGAAAGGCACTGAGTTGTTGGTTTCTTTTCTGTTCATTGTCCGAGAATTCCTGGAAAGATAATCAAACTATTATTAAACAGGCTAGTAGATTGACGAGGAGACTCTTTTGGTTTTGCTCTGTAGATTGAAAGCACCATGTCTTGGTGAGGGAGTTCCAGTATTTCCAGTGCTCCTCCACCGCTATCTTCTGAATCACACCAAAGCATCGTGGGACAAACCGGCTGGCCAGAGGCTCCCCATCTGCCTGCACCAGACCTCAAAACAGAAGGAAACAGGAAACTGTAAAATAGCTGTGACTGATCCCCATTCAAAACTGCATTCACTGAAATGTTAATTCTAGACACGGTTGTACCTTCTACTGCAACGTACTGAAGTCGCTTGTGGGGAGTTGCTCTCAGCACTCTGAGCAAATGTTGATCTGGCTTGAAAACGGGTATTTCCTAAAAAAACAATAAGTGTTTATAAATGATTAAAGGATTCGAGCTGTGTGAATACTTAAGCATGACACACAAGCAATGATGTAGGCTACTTGCCTTCAGCTTTTCCAGTTCTTTTTTCTTTTCTTGGTACAAATGATAGAAGAGGCCAGAGAAGGCAAAGCTGGAGCCGACACCAATCACAACCAGCGGATTTATGGGAATGTCAGCCATATCTGTGTCTGCAACAGGAAGAAGCAACATCTTAAGGTCAACACAAGTCACAGTAAGCTACAGTAGTTATCAGTGTGGAAGTTATTCCGTGTGTTTGTGAAGAATAATCAGATAAAGGAATAAAACGCACCTGCTAAAAACTTTAACACACCTGCAGTTTGGTCACATTAATGGAAACCAAAAGCTTACGTTGGTTTCATTTCCTTGTTCGCCCACGTTGCGTCATGTTTCATCAGCCAATAGGAAATTAGCAGCATATATCTTTTATGACCACCAGGTGGCAGCGTACATCAGTGGGTGATGTAGTATCACTTTCTTGCACACTTAAAATGTACACTGTTCAGTTTAATATTTAGTAATACAATGTGTTAGGATACGTGAACTCTCTATTTTCCCATGCTCACTTTAAACCAGTGGTGGAAGATGTTTTTATACTATACTATTACAGGTAAAAGCCCATAATTCAAAATTGTACTTGAATAAAAGTATTGACAACTAATGTAATTGTAAGTACAAGAGTGAAAGTACACATAGCCCCTTTTACTATATAAAATATCATTCTCACTTTAATGTTGTGGTTGGAAGATGTGACACTAATTTCTACAACTTCATATATTTTGGGTAGTTTAATCTGTAACCATCCATCACATATTAAAAACTCAATAGCTCTGAAATGTTTAATACATTGCTGTGTATTTGAAGTATAAAGTAGTGTGGAATCCATAAAGATTTTATTCAAGTATACTATGTGGAGAAATGCAATTTGTAGGACAAGAACAACTAGTGGTCATTACATTACATTACAGTCATTTAGCAGACGCTTTTATCCAAAGCGACTTACAATTCAGATCATATTCTATCTCACCGTAGGCACAGCTACGCGAGCAATTTTTGGGGTTAAGTGCATGTCTTGCTCAAGGACACATCGACATGCGAGTAGCGGAGCTGGAGCCGGGGATCGAAGGACGGCCCTGCTCTCCACTTAGCCAGGGTCCCCAAGGTGATTAGCCTACTGTCAAAGGCACAGCAGTTCATTTACTCAAGCACTCCACTTTTTGAGGTTCTAGTATGTTACTTAAGTACATGGAAGATATTTTGTTACTTCATACCTCTACTTCACTGCTTTTCAGAGGGACATATTGTACTTTTTACTCCACCCAGATATATGTGAAGCACACAGTGAGTTAGTTTGCTGATTAAAGGCTCTGCAAACAGGTGTTTTGAATTTGGCTGATTAGACCTCCAGTCAGGTGGGTGTTGGGTGGAGCGATGCTGGAAGTTACTTGACGTCCGTGAACTATCAACACTAGTGACGGCTGCAAGGACACAGTCCTAACAGGAGGTCTAATTAGGCAACAAGTGAGAACACCTGTGTGGGTGGACTATGGCCAGGGGCGTCGTTAGGCCTATTTTAGGGGGCTGAAGCCCCCCTAAAATGTTCTTCAGCCCCCGAAATAATTTGGCATTATTAGCTTTAAAAAAAATATATATATATATATATTTTTTGTGATGTCATTAAATTAAACTATTGTTACAAGTTATTTATAACTCTAACATGTTACATATGTGCGTGCGTTCTGGTTTGTATGTTTTCTCCCCCTTCAAATTACAATCCAATAGCCTATCATCATACTTAACGATATAAAGTTGACACTGTCAGATCCATTCTCCATCCATTGTGTGCGGTCCCTTTAAGAATTAGGATTTGGGAGTGACGCGGATATGAAAGCTAGTTTATCCGTCTTTCCTTTACAAGCAGGAAAATTATTTCTCTCTCTTTATTTAAGAAAAGTTCATATTTGCGTTGTCAAATTTCACTATGACCCTGAAATTCTGTCTCTTGTGTTATCATATACTGAATGCAAGCAAAACTACAGAGCAAAATCACACTCTTTCTGATTGAACCAATCTATGAACGGTTTGAAACAATGGATATCCGCGGCCCCAAACGGGCCCCAAAAAAAATTGCTGCACAAACATGCCACTCCCCTTGGGGCTAAGCCCCCCCTTTCTTTGAATCCTAGAAACACCTGACTATGGCTGTGCAGGTACTCTTAAGATTTTACCTACAAAGTATATGACCACTTTATCAAATATATTGATTATTATTGATAATAATATTATTGATTGACTACAACAGTATAAGTTAGAAAGTGCGCCAATTCAACCAGCTCCATTAAAATGCAGCTTGTTTTATGCACAATACAATAATAGATGACATTAACACTGAGAGGGTCAACTCTGCATATTAAATATGTTTTACTCTTCATACTTTAAGTACATTCACTGAACTAGAATGCAGTACATTTACTTGTTATGGTATCACCTTTGCCTTGACTGTAATATCCAGTTTTATACGGTTGGTTCACTGCCTGTTACCGTCATACTGATTCATGTCGACAATCTGAATGATGTCGTCATGAACGGGATGATTTGCAGGCTGAGTCATTTATGGAGACTGTAACAGATGTGTGTATGAGGTGTGAACGGGAGGATTTTCCACTCTCAGGTTGTTTTATTATGACTTTTAGCTGCCTGAAGATATCATTCTATCCAGTGTTTCACAAGATGCGGGAACAGTTACAGATAATATACAATAGTTTGGTACAGCAGATGTTTGTTTTTTTCTATTTCCCTCCTGTTAATCATCTCATGACCTCTCTGATTTACCTTATACAACACCCTAGACAGGTCCAGATAAGCACACTGAACACTGAAGCAGCTAATCTCCCGATTACGTCTTTACTGAAAGTTGCCAGCGTTGACGAAAGTTATACACTGATGCATCATAAAGTAAAGAGTGCCAGACTTTGCCAGCTTCCCCTTTCTCCGCCTCTCTCTGTGTACTGAACAGTCGTTCGCTTGGCAAACAGTGCTTGACTGTAAATACACACCTGTTTTACATGCATGGTCGTATTTTCTCCCTTCATTTGGATGCCTTTGTCCAACTGTTGTTCCCAGCTCCTTTTTTCCCCCCAGGCTGTGTAAATAGTTGCCTATATTGACAATGTATCTGCACTGCAGGAAATTCTGTAGATTTGACCTTCGTGCACAAATAGCAGTGACTCTTCAGGGGCATCTCTGACACTTACAGTTTAATTCAACCCCTGATGCCTGGAGAAGAGATGAGAGAAGACACACCGCTGAAGAAAGTCTCCATAGAGCTGCTTTTTAGTTACTCAATGGCCATCCTGATTCATTCTTCTTCAATATGTCCTTGACTGCTTACTGAAAGCAAAATGGCATTAATTTCAGAATAAGGACGTTGTTGGAACACCTTTCGCTCCAACATGTGCAACCTTGGTGCAGCCCCCAGCGTCTGCAAACCTGCATGGAAGAAGCCCCTCTGATGACACACACACAACACGCACAGTCTGGCTTCACCAATGGATTGATGCGGAACAGAGCAGAACATCGGGAGTAAATGAAAAGTCTGGCATAATCTCTTTGTCTAATGAATGGTCTTTGGCTAATGAATGGTCTTTGGCTAATGAATGGTTGTTGTTCTTATTTCATCAGCAAAACAAAAGGTCCCTGAATCCTCCTTTCAGATTTTCATAGCTCTAAATTCTCTAATATTTGTTTTGAATCATGCACACACCCTTCCTCTCGTAGATGAGTGAGAAAAGACGCACATGCTTCACAGCAGCCAGCCTGGATGTTCCTGTGTATTTCTTTCTCTGCACTATTTCCTACTTGTATAACATAATTTCAAGGCAATGGAGAACGAGTGACATAGGATCTGTAGTTATCCAGTAATAATGGATGACTAACACAAATGCACAAAGCACACAAAAAGCCCTTGACATAAGGAGACTGTGTGTACTTGAAAATGGAAAACACACACATACACAGAAAACCTTGTACTTATATCTTTGTGAGGACACTGATTCCCTGTTAACCAAACCTTAACCATCACAACTAAATGCCCGACCCTTACTCGAACTCTAACCTAAACCTAATTCTAACCTAACCAAGTGTGAACTCATCCATTTCAATTTGTATGCTTGCTTTATGGCATCAAACATGAAGATGTTGCTGATTGTGCAAAGCTCCCGTATAGTTGTGAGCAGAGAACGAGTACAAATAGAGAAATATCACCGGTATGAGAGAGTGGCAAACATTGGTGGTGTGAAATGTTTGCTGTAACGACAGCTATAAGAAACATTTGGGTAATTATTGTGAGTGAGTTACTCCTAATGTCTGACATTGCCAACAAATAAACTCATTCTGGACTGTATTGTGATTGTGCAATGTTAAAAAAATTGCTCCGTCTTAGAAGTAAGTGTGCTTATATCAGGCCTCAGAAAGCAACAGACGGATAAACACAAGAAACCAGGGATGGAAAAGAGCGTTCTCTTCTGAAATTCCACAAGCGTCATCCAAGAAGCACTCAAAAGGCTCAAACATGAACTTTTATCCCAGATGAGGGTTATTCTGACATCCATCAAAGCTTTCATAAGCCTCGCTGAGTCACCCGCCGATAGTAAAAGCAGACCAGTAAAACGTAAGATACATGCTGCCACTGGAGGAGTCCGTGTAGGAAACAAGGACCGGTTCTGTGCATTGCTGTCAGAAACATGTATTCCTCATAGTTGGAAGTAAATGACTCAGCCCTCATCTCTTCACACTATGCACACTGACTGATGACAGAGCAACCATCTGACCGGAGACAAACGCGCTGCCTGTTTTTCACCTTGCACAACTTCCAGAGGGAGCAGACGTACTTTTTCAGTGTTCCCACAACGCTTTCGATGAATTATGAGCTTTACAACTCTCCGTTCTCCACGGCAATGCTGCAGCCACTTCACAAACACATGTGCACCATGCATCATCCTCGGTGCATATACAGCAGCATTATCTTATCTGAGAGCAGTGTTTCAGCTATGACCAGCCCCATGTACGAGAGCCAAGAGAAACTGATTTTTATTGCATGTCACTACAGTATTATGGTCTCCTATATGGTCTGAACCACTGATAAAAAAAGACATCTTAATGGCGTCTTTCTCGTAGTTTGTCGGACTGTCAATGTTAATTCACAGTGACGTGCAGCTGATGACTTCATCTATATGCAGTCCTGTTTGTGTTGCCTCAACTTCATGGCAGTTTTAGGGGATGGAGTCTAAAAAAATCTAAATCGAATATTCCTCTGCTTCCCTTTTTCATACAGATGGGTGACCGATTTAAGAAAAAAACAACATGAATTGTCTTAGGAAGTTGTTGATTCATTCATTTTCATCCTCATCATACCATTTATGCTCCTCTTCACATTTATTCAGATTTTTTCCTTTAATTAAATTTTTATCAATTTGTCACTTGCCTGTCTGTAAGTCCTCAAAGAATCATATTAACTCAATAATTGCTTTTATATTAATCTATAGCCCCGGTGGATAGAGTACTCAGATGTGTTACTTAAGTACCAATACAACAGTGTAGAAGTACTCCATTCCAAATAAAAGTCAACAAAATATACTTCACGTATCAAAGAAGAAGTATCGCTTCTGCAAAAAAAAAAAGGCCCCTGTGACTGATTATTATGACACTGTTGATTGCTGTTGAGTGACACTGTATAAGTAGCCTTTTACTGTTGTAGATTGTTCAGTCCAGTGGTTCTCAAACTGGGGGTCGGGCCCCTGAAAATGGTCACACCGTGAATATGGCGAGAGGACACAAGGGAAAAAAAATCTGCAGAACAAATTTGAGTTCCTGTTTTGATTTAAATAAGTTTTCCTTCTGTTTAGGCCTCGAATATTTTTTTTCTTTTTTTTTAATCAAACCGTGGGCATCAGAAACATAACTAGGGACCCCCCCAAACACAGTTTTTGTAAGTCACAAGTCAAAAAGCGTGGAAACCACTGGTTTAATCTATATCTAAACTGTGTTTTATAACTTTTAAATTCCTATAATCTGTTCATTCACTAAATAGCTGTTCAATAAGTAACGGCATCAAACATACAATATTTGCCCCTGAATTGTGTAAAGTAGTATCAAACTGAAATACTTATGTCAAATACAAGTACCTCATATTGCACTTAAGTTGGCTGCTGTGCAGCACTTGATTAAATAGTTACTTTGTACCACTGTGTGTGACATTACATGATAACACGGTTGCTTATCACAAACAAACTGTAGAAAATGAAACAGAGGTTCAGTCACGTCTTGACATTAATTCATGGATAGGCTTAGTTCCCTTCTGTTTACACCTGATCATCTACTGACGTCCACAGAGGAGCTTTCATTGGTTACTCGATGGTTGTTCAAGCTAAAGCCCGAGAGGGAGGAGGAGGAGGAGGATGTCAGGAGCGGTGCGATTCACTCCACTCAGAGCGCTGGAACAGAGTCAGCAAGGAGACCCGAACCAACCTGCGGAGGAATATCACTCTTTTACATATTTTTTGTTTTTACTCTCTACAATCTTTTTTTGTAAGCATCAACTCCTCTGAAGGACATGTTGGTCGCAGTTTCAAACAGCGTGCTCATCCTTCTCTCCTGCATGTTGCTGCAACACGTGAGTCTTTTTACAACACTTCTGACTCTTCTCATGACTTGAACTTTGGCTTGTTTTCAATGTGCGTCCGTTGTTCGCCTGTTTTGAGGTGGATGTAAGGTTCTACAACGTAAATATATCAAGAAGTGTGTTGCCTTCAAGCACATTGACGCGCACTCTGGTGCGCGCCTAAACCAGTTTTGGATGCTGGCGCACCAATGTGCCCCAGTGAGAAGCTTGAGGCATTCCCCGTTCAACATGTGGAGGGACGCTGATTAGAGGAGGATTTAGTTATCAATAGTGTACCAAGGAATTGTTTGGCTTTAGTTTATTTTCATCATCATCGCTTTTGATATGTCAGAACAAATAATATTACAACTTGAGCTCATTTAAAAAGAAAATAAAAAAGGAAGAATCAAGAATAACTTCCTCTCCCATCATCCCAGCACCGGTCTCCTCCTCACTCCAGCCAGGTTCACCCTCTGCTTTGTGTGTCAACACCCTCAGGCAAAAACCTGCAGCATCTAAAATGACATTTGGCACCAAAGCAAAGTTTACATTTTTTCAGTGACATTCATGTGTTTTTATGTCCCGGCTGATCTCTTTACACCACTAAGGTTAACCAAGAGAAGTCACAAGGTCTCCCAACAGCAATGACCTCCTTTGTCTGCCTCTGTACTCTCCGGCCTCCACATAGTGTCCTCATCCGCAACCGTCTCCTGCAGAGGAGAATGTATGATTCATGTTTGAACTCAGCTGTAGGTCAGAGCCCGTAGAAGAGCGAGCTGGCTTTTGAAATCTGCATTTGCGCACACTCGCAGGCTGTTTCAGTGCTTCTGTGTTGCTAAACGAAGCAAAGGAGGAGATGGGTTGTTATTGCTGGTGGTGGAGAGTAGAAATGATGTTCATGATCACGAGGATGCAGGGCAGGAAGTTTTCTCCTGATACTCCAACGCGCACTGCTTAAGGCAGCGTTGATCCATCACTGACAGCATATTCTCCAATCCTAGTCCAGAGGTGCCCCCTGGGTGAAGTTGCGCAGGGCATGCACCGTAGCCTACGGAGCGAGATAAATCATAACTTAAATGGGGGAGTCACGTTGTCTGGGGGGGAGAGTATGGAGTCATATAGCTAACAATAGCCACATAGTGCAAGCCTGATTAATGCCAACAAAGAGGAGACTCATCCACCTAAGTGCCAGCAATAAATCTTGTGGTCCTGCAGATGGTCCGCACATTCCCTGGCAGTGGAACCTTATGGATTCATCTTCAACATTGAACCCGGCTGTAGATTCACTCCGCGTCTTCCAAAACGCCCTCACATGCAAATATGAGGGATGCGATGATTTTTGTGTCCGCCGTGTGCGTCTGGTGGAGAGATTAATGGTGGCCCGGCGGAGACGGCTGACATGTGAAGCGCTGTCCAGAGAGCAGATGCAGCACAGCTCATAACCGTCACTAATAGACAAATGATCTGAGGCTGACGCTTTCAAATGTCACTGTGCGGAGGTGTGTAGATGAACATGTGTGAAATGTTCCTTTTGCAGGTGTTTTCAGTGCACAGTCAGATGTGTGACATGGTGAAGGAGATAGACAAGGAGAGGAACCTGTGTGAGGCTCAGATTGAGAACAAAACAACAGGTATGTGGGTTTGTGTGTGTGTGCGTGTGTTCTACATGCCTCCTGGCTGCAACTATGTTTTATCAAAATTTGCCTAATCCACAATTAGCTTCTGATCGAAGTGACACAACAAGCTCTAAAGACAACAAAACCTCCCCTCTGGCCTTCCATCACACCTTGCATGGCTAAACACTGCTTTCCATCTAATGCCAGCCTGCTGTTGTGTGTGGCTTGGTTCAATTTTAAAGTAAACTTTGTAATTGATCACATTTGACCGTACTTGTTTTTATATTAAATGCTATTGCCAACAGAACAGCAGGGAGTGTGCAACAATTAAACTAACTTAGCTGATTTGTTGTTTCAATGTATTGTTGTCGAAGCTGGAATTACATGTTGCTAAGTGACGTGTTGCATCCTTAAAGCACGCAGCACATAATTAGGTTCCACGGAGAGATAATCGTGCTTTATTGAGCCTCTATTGCCTTGGTGTTTAACCAAAACCTCCTTGATCCTAACTGCATGTATCAAGAGACTCTGGTTACTTTCACATATTGAAAAAGTCATTAAACACTCATTATCTTTTTTGAATTTAGACGTCATCTTGCTCCCTAAAGATTCAATAAATGCTGTCAAATCCTCCGGGTGATGATGCAAACATCAGCTGGTAAACTGATTTCTCATGGTGATGAGATGTTGAGCAGGTGTGGATGTAAAAGTGCCGTCTGCATCCGGAGACTGAACACTCTGTGGACAGTCGCAGTGGTCTGTTGAATTCAAATAACAGTGTGTAACGCAGGACGGGGAGCTGTTTTATTAGTCATGGTGGCGGCGTGTTAACTCAGGTCATCCGCTGTTATGGACCCGGGACTGTAACCACAGCTGACTCGAGCGCATGAACACATTTTGGCTGCCATGGGAACTCCAGTGCTACACCTTCACCTGAGGCAGGTTGCTATTTGTCACTGGAATGGAGTCATATCACAACTGCTTCAGACATACAGTATAAGGTTCTATAAACAGCATGTGGCGTTTCCATGTTTGACCATTTAGAACACACCCTTTTTTGGGCCTCTCTCTCTCTCTCTCTCTCTCTCTCTCTCTCTCTCTCTCTCTCTCTCTCTCTCTCTCTCTCTCTCTCTCTCTCTCGGTCAGGTTGCAGCGGAACTTGGGACAAGATAACCTGCTGGCCCAGTGCTGATGTTGGAGAGGTGGTCACCATCCCTTGCCCAAAATATCTCTTCTACTTCTCCGGGGACGTTTCCACAAGTAAGAATACGGTTTATATAGGGCATGAATGTGTCTGTGTGTGTGCGTGTGTGTGTGTGTGTGGCAAGGCCAGCCAGTGACTATATAGATGCATTTGTTTGTGGGATGGTCAGCTATCTCACAAAGTTTTGGGGTCATTTGGCAGAAGGTAGACAGTGTCATCGTGAGCCGGCGAGGCAGTACTTGGACATAGTTACACATATGCAAGGAAAACAAACTGATGAACGTAAATGGACAGTGACACTTGTTACCCAGTGTTAGGAGAAGAATAAAATACAAATAAATAAGAAAGATGAATGTGTTGTTAAAAAAATAAGCCAATGAGCAGACTCTGGCTAATGCTCAATAACTACCATTATTCTTTTAAGCAGCTAAGCAAGATATGTTGAAACTGTTCCAATCAATATTCTTGTATTGAGAAAGGATCAAATCAATGTGTAAAAGGGGTCGCTCATGTGGACAAACCCACAGAGGATTATTGCCTAATTCTGCAGTTCTTGTTCAGTTCTGAGGAACGTTTTATCGTCTTTTAGCTCATTGTTTTGGTTTTATGGACCTCGACTCTACTGTTTTGGTTTATTCTGACGCTCTTATCAGGTCGTTTCCAGTAGCAGGCAGCTGTTTTCAGAAAAAAAGCTATAAAAAAATATTGACGATAGAGCCATATCCCTGAGTCTAAGTTTAACTTTAAACTGTATATTGAATGTCAATCATGTCTGTTCATGGAGGAAGTAGAAAGGCCATCACGCTCCACGTCTGAGACCAGAAATAGGAATTACAAAGTGCATAGAGCAGCATCATAGTGGCTCATACTCATGTTTTATCCATCTCTCCTGACACCCCAACTCATATATCACAAAGAACACGCCGAGTACAAACAACTTCCCATCTAATGCATCAAAGGCACATTCTGTTTATTTGTCCTCCTTTAATCCATGAGAAGCCTCACGGGGAAGTAGTTGTAGTAGTAATAAGAGGAACCACTCTCTTGAGGATTTATCGGCTGAACTGCAGTGTGTTTGTACGGTTTCCCGTATATCTCCATTAATTACCACCCCGAGTCTCCTCCGTGTAATTACTCTGTAAGAGTTGATGGAGTTGTTTATGTGTATAGAGGCATCAATTTCAACTTTAGTGCCTTGAGAAATGTTAATTTATCGAAGCATCTTGTAATTAGCTTGAAAACACTGGTGTGCATATAGTTTTTTAAAGGGCTGTACTTGTCCTATATATTTTTTGTAACAATGGATCAGAAGGCTGTTTGTAGAGTACCATGTATCAGTTGTTGCGACAAAGCCAGAGAATTATGCAAACTTGGCAGTTATTCAGGTCTACGGAGCCTTTTAGCTGTTTTAGCCCTTTTTAGCATATTGTTTCGGTTTTCCCGCTCTCGAACTCTCACCTTGTTTCAAGACGAAGCTGGCAGCTTTTTCCAACAGAAAAGCAGTGATAGACCAAGTGTATGCTATCTGCCCAGCATCAAACAACAAACAGACAAAGTTAGTAACCAGCTACTGTAGCATGGTAGCATTTAGCACAGTGTAACATTGAGCAGCTGAGAGCCAGGTATTTTCTTTTGTCAATGGTTGAAGGACGCACATATGCACATGGAGAGGGTGTTCCTGCCCCTGTAATCCAGACAGTATTTCCCCCGTCATATTCAGGGCATGAGAGGGACTCAAACCCAGGATTTATCATGAGCATGTGAAGGCTCGCTGCGTAGGAGAGGGGTTTTCTTGGAAGCTGTGATGTGACCCAGATGGGAGATAGTGTGACCCCAGAGAGGAGAGCCCTCCAGGGAAAAGAGTGAGGAATCACCAGAATTGTGGGGTTGAAGGCAGAAGAGGTATATTTTACCGACATGTCAAAGGTTCACAGAATCAACACGCCTCCCCTGTGCAGGGACTAGGGGCTAAGGGGCCTTAAAAGAAAGAGATGGGATTGTAAGCGGCCTGTGCCTCACTGATGTGCATGCCATCAATTATGCAGTAAATCAACAAATCAGTGCAGGTCTCATGATTAATCCTACTATGCTCTCAGGTAATGTAAGGAAGACTTAATTAAGGGATGATGATGAACAGTCTGGGATTCTGTGCATTGTAAATTACTGTTGCAGTCGGGTCAGAAATATAAGCATTGCAGGAAGTAAGAAAAACAACCTTGTTTGTGTAGCTTGACTGCTGTGCATTTTACAATTTATTCATTTTATTTTGAAAAGGTTTCAGAATCCTGAGACGTTAGAGAAACATGATGTATACTTTTCAAGAAGTTGTCCTTTTTGTGACTGTGGTACAGTGTAAATAAAAAAGTGCCTATTAAGTAAAAAAAAGTATTACCTGTCAGTCAATTGCGTAAGACGCAGGTTATTGACACATCCCGAGCTACTCATTTTAGAAGCCTCACACACACAAAAAACAAGCATTACGAAACGTGGCGCCACAGAGATTCAGGTCATAAATTTAGTTGAGATAGAGTTTGCCATTCACATGAACTCTTTACTAAGTAGGCCTGGGTCTTACACACACACACACACACACACACACACACTCACACAGTCATTCATCTCTTTCAATAACACGGACGACTCACCCTTTATACAAGCAGTGACAAGTGATGGGTTCACCTACATGCCATAATATTCAGCTGAGCTGAAGCTAATCTTTGCATGCTAATATGAATCTTCATCCAAGATATAACTAGGAAAGATAAAGCATTTGACTTACAACATTGACAAAAAAGCCAGGATACATTTTTTTTCTTTTTTAACTTGAAAATAAAAATAATGATGATTAGGGTGATTAACTCGTTTTAGCTCTCCTCGTTGTCGTGCATGACATTGAAAATCCTTGCAGTCATGTTTTGGGGGGATGATGAAAGCATTCTTCTGGCAATCCCTCAAACAAGCCAAATCCAGTGGTGGCATGGGCTGAAACAGCAGGGGCTTATCTTCCCCTTTGTGTCTTGTCATGTTGTTTGAGGAAGCTAAGCCGCCATCTTCTCTGCAATACGCTCAGGTATTTGTGAGCTGACCATATTTTAATGCCAAAACATTCTAAGACTTTGGATCGTTGATCATTTCCCAACTAGGTCTTGATTTGATAGTGGCCGTAGAGCGATACGATTGGGAAATGCGAGGAATGTCCTACATTTAGATTTCTACAGCAGCATTCAGTGCAAGGATTCATTTTTTCGCCAACACACGCAGCTCCCTTTTCTTTATTGACAGGAAAGGACATGCTGATAAAAAAATATGACACAAGACACTGAGATGTCAAACTGGGCTTCTTACGGCTGGTTGATTAGATATGCCTCATGTGTGTAGTAAGAAGGGTTTTCAATCGAAATAATGATTAGTGTCCCATCTGAACATTAATGCATTTCTTCCCCTTATTAAGGAACAATTCTTTAAAAAGTCAAACTTATCTACAGCTTTATATTTTGCCCAACATATGCACATGTTGCACTTTTGAAGGAGGTTATATGATCCAATGGCAAAATGCTTTTCTCTCTGCTGAGCTCAACTTTGCTCTACTCTAATGAACTCTACAGGACTCTACTCTCCTGAGGCCTACTGAGCTGTAGTCTTCTGCACTCTACATTGATAATCAGAGCTTTACTCATTTCTACTGAACTCTACTGTATTGTAGTGTACTACCTTATTGTACTGTGGTGAGCTCTAGTCTACCGCACTGTAATGTACTCTAGTGAGCTCTAATTTACTATACTGTACTGTGCTCTAGTTTAGCTCTAGTGTACTGTGCTGTACTCCAGTAAATCATAGTCTACTGTTCTGTACCATACTGTACTTTACTGTACTCTAGTGAGCTCTAGTCTACTGTACTGTGCTGTACTGTCTACTTTAATCTCCTCTCAGATGAAAGTGCCCTCTCCTCTCTTTATATTTATTTATTTTTTTACGATCACTCTAACGTACTTGGACCTTTCACTTCTGCCCTTATGGGCAGGCCAGAGTAGAAATATGTCTCTGCTGGCCTCCTTCTGTGTGTGCAGCCTGAGAGTAATTAAGCAACAGATGGAGGCCAATACACATGGGAACCGTCCCAGAATGTCTTAGCGGGTGGGACGACGGATCCCCTTCAGTCATTCCTTCCATTTCCTTTTAGTATTTGGGAGTATTCCAGCGAGACACATATATCTCAGTGTGACATAATTAAGTGAGAGTAAATGTAGAAGGTTTGCCTTGTGACTCATACTGTTCCCCTCCCCCAACACACACACACACACACAATATTGTAATTGTGATGAAATAAAATAAATCGTATTGAAACACATTGAATCTGCCGGAGCAATGAGTTGTATTCTTGCAAGAGTAATGTTGAGTATTTTTTCCTGTCCCTCTGTCCCTCTGCTCATTAGGTAACCTGTCAAAGACCTGCACTGCGGGTGGCTGGACCCCAATCAGCATAGACTCATACATAATGGACTGTGGATACAATCCCAACAACACCATGGATGATAATACGTCGGTATGGCAACCAGAGTTCAAAAATCTTCTGGCCCCATGTGCTGGTGCTGAGACTTCATGTTCGGTATCAAAGTCAGTCCAGATGAGCTTTACTGAATGTCTTTTTGCAGGGAGAGTTCTTCGACGCCATCAAAGTGGGTTACACCATTGGTCACAGCGTGTCCCTCATTTGCCTGACGATCGCCATCATCATACTGTGTCTCTTTCGGTAAGGAGATGAATCAAAATGCTACCCCCTGTGTAAAGACAATCAAACACCCTTTTTCCATCATTTAGAGTGGTAAAACCCTCGACTTCCTGCATTTTATAGAGGTTTTACAGTGTTTTTCACACCGTATAATGTGACTCTGCCAGATTTTGTGAGACAAGACGTCCACATTTGACATTATCTGCTGTTGCAACAGTTCTCAAACAAAGCGAGCAGCCATAAAGTCAAACCACTTAGACAGGCTGCTGTTGCTCACAGCTCCCTTTTGACCTTCTGTCCTGAGGTTGCAGAGAGAAAAAGTTTGCACAAATGTTGGCATGACACTGCACTAATCAATAATAAGTTCAAGTGTGTGGCCTCTATTAAACAACCCAGTCTGTTCAGTTGGGTGTGTTTTTGCATTTGGAGTGTTTGTGTGTTACGGCCTAAACAACATGGGATGTGTTTACACCTCGGGCTTATAAAATGCAAATGGTTCGGATTTTCCAGCAGTGACACAGGATGTGAACAGCGTATGCTGTTAATGCTCAACTGCGGAGCCGTTTTCAGGCAGCTGGTTGATGCTATGTGTCATCGCACCCGTCCTGCTGGGACGACTTCCCTGATGGGTTTATGCTATTCATCCCTAATCATAAGCTCATTGGGAAGGCATTTGTTTGAGAACACCCAGAAGAGAGCATTTACATTAGTGACATTTTCTCTGCAAAAACAAACCCTGATTTGTTCTTGTTTACGTCTTTGCTGAATGTCGATGATGTTTCACACTTGTTTCTGCAAGATAAATATATATTTCACTGGAAAATTACCTCCTACATCCGATATGAAACATACAGATAGCGTTTCTTGACAATTACATGTAGCTTGACATTGAAATAACAGCACAGAACAGTAGGAGCACGTTGCAAGGCAATAACCGTTCATGAAGTGCTTATAATGACTACTCTCAGCTTAAAATACACATTCTTTCTGTCAACGTTGGCCCCCATAAATTAAGTCTGTGAATTATCTGGTGGATATTTCCTCGACATTTATTCCGATTGCATGCTTTGGTGGCATAAACACACTTTATCGCATTGGTCATTTAAATAGCTCTTTTCAGATCTTTAATAAAAAGGAAGTCATTTAGAGATGTGTGCGTGTTGCTTTCCCGTCTTGATCTAAATCATCTAACCGCTGATTTGTCGTATTTTGCAGGAAGCTGCACTGCACAAGAAACTACATCCACATGCATCTGTTTGTGTCTTTTATACTGAAAGCTGTTGCTGTTTTCGTCAAGGACATGGTTCTGTATGGAGTTGGGGAGACAGACAATTGCCAGTCACCTGTGAGTAGGCTGTGTACTCTCTGTGCTCCTGAACATCTCTCTCGCCAACACGGCACTTTATTTTATTAGCGAAGCTGCACATTTTATTGATTTTCTTCCCTACATCATCAAAAGTCCTGCATGACAGATCAAGTTAACTCGTCCATCTGATGTACGAGTGGCCGGCTGTTAGTTTCTGTCCTTTAAGCTAAAGCAAACAGCCTCTATTTAATTATTCACTCAGACTTTAATGGCTTTAATGCTTTGTCTCTGAGTTTACATAACGTGTGGGTGCTCAAGTGTTTGTGGGTGTAGCAGTGTTTGCCAAGTCCCTTGCACTCCTGAGACGACGTTTCCTAATTCATCTGTCCAGCAGGATCCTGTGAGAGTTCCTGTTTGCTGAACATTAAGCCTGAAATAAAGAGAGCTTTGTCAATAAATCACTTTTAGAGTTCTGATATCTAGTTTTACTCACTTCATCTCAACAACATAACCATGGCAACAATATCAAAAAGCCATAAGAGCTGAGTTAAGATAAGGTGTGAGATAAGCCACTGGATCAGGTACAGTTTCATATAATAAGGCTATGTTATTTTTATTTGATTGGTCAAGACACTGACGTCAGTGGTGTTTTCTCAGGTCCAGCTCCAGCCGCCGCTTTATTACCAGAGAGGATTAGACCAGCCGACTGTAAATCACCTGCTTTACTATCTCTAAGTGCTGATTGTTAATGGCTGACTTTAGTTATTTCCCCCTGAGGGTACACAGATTGTCCTGGTCCAAACACAGCTGCTGTTCCTCTCAACTGTTCCTAAACTAAAAAAACAAACCAAAAAAACTTTTGTAGTAAGCAACACATTAAAACAATTTTACCCATCGAGATCAGGTTACTCGTCATGAAGAACACTACTCAGTCTGAGAAAATACTGTACTTGTATAAACAAATTAGTGAAACTACGAAAAAAAGCATTCCAAATTAGACATTTGTGAGAACACAAATTCCTAATCAAATTCCTCATGTTGTAGACATGGATGGTATTTTATTTAAAGAACAGATTTTTCAGGTTTTATTAGCATTTAATGAACACCACTTCCTATAAGGCCTGGACACCTCGGTTTAACGTCTTTGGCTCAACAGGGCAGAGAGTGCAGAACAATGTAGACATTTGAGACTACAACTAAAGAGTTGGAAAACCTACATTAGAAGAAAGCGTTGGTTGATGTCAAGGAGATGGAAGAAACTTAAAGAGCGTGGCCTCACCAGTCTATGGGAATTTAAGTTGTTTTTATGCCAAGAGGTCGTTGCTTACTTTGTCTCAGTGTCAGTGACCCTTAAAAAACCTGAAGACTTAAGCTGTTCATTTACTGTTCTTGTGTCTGTAATGCTTTAAACAGTCTCCAAAAACGGTATCTTCTAGTAGCCTAAGGGGCTTTATATAGAATATTAACATGAATCTCAAATACACTTTAAGTGCATATTTAATCAGTCCAGTAGCCATTAGCACATTTTGTCTAGTTATATTATGCTCATATTAATTGTGATAATGCTGCTTTTGAAGATTGACTTGCCAAGTCTAACCCAATTTTTCTCTCTTAAGTGAGTCATCAATACTCATTTCAGAGTAATTTACTAAAAACGTTCTCTGTGCAGCCTCATCCACTGGCAGCTTAATTTGTCCTCACCGTTTGAAGTGTGATGGGATTGCATTTATCTACATTCACTGGTAATGCAATAAGCCACTGACATCCTGGTTCTCCTGTAGGTGGGCTGCAAGGCAGTGGTGGTCTTCTTCCAGTATGGGGTCATGGCGAGTTACTTCTGGCTGCTGGTGGAGGGCCTCTATCTCCACACTCTGTTAGCCATTTCCTTCTTCTCTGAGAGGAAGTACTTCTGGTGGTACATCCTGATTGGTTGGGGTACGTGTCAGCCGCTATACCACAGGTTGATGAATACAGATAGCTCACGCAGGCTCTTTTGCAAGGAGATTTGATCCATCCGGTTGTCTGAAGTGGCAGAAGAAATCGTCAAACAACCATCAAGATACGTCCGTCAGGCGACCCGAATGTCTGTTTTGTCTTAACTGCAACAGCCACAACACATATGATAATATGTAAATTCACGAGTGAGGTTTTATACATGCGCAGGAAAATGCTGTGCCTTTCCATCTGCATATGGATGAGTCTTGCTGCCAGTTTTAGATTAGCAGCAGCAGGCAGCTGCCAGTCCGCTCCACTGTTAGAATTGAGTCTAAGCGTCCTGCCGTGCTTTTGTTGCTGTTGATAGGAACATAGCTCATTTAGCAAATCCATGCATGTATGGTAGACATAATATGTGAATAATTCCTCCCCGAACTAAGACATCAGTCAATTTAGACTTGAACTCTTGATATCGGGAATGGATAGCTAGATTTGGCAACAGGGATGCTCTTTTTGACAGCTCTTGATGTATATTCAACAACCATTCCCCAAATTTTTGATGTCTTTCTTTCCCATCACGGCAATAAAGTAACTCTATAAATAGGCCTGACATGTTGTCTCTGCCAGCAGGAAAATGGAAACAAGCCTTTGACTTTCCTGCAGATACCCAGGATGAGCCAATATTGGCACAGAGCAAATATGACTCCGGTTAGAAATGAGAAGCATACCCAAAATGCAATTTAACTTTAGCTATGAAATCATCCAAAAGATTAACAGTGTACACATGCTCCAGGCTCACCGTCATATTCGGTGGTGTTGAGTCAGTGCGGTGTTTGTATGAAAACAGTAGACATTTTTCAGTGTGACATATCATTTTAATGTTGAAATAATTGACCACAAATTCTGTTTATGTTTCTTGTTTGCAGGCGCTCCAACCATCTTTATCTCAGCGTGGGTGATTACAAAGGCTTATTTCAATTATCCTGGGTGAGTTAATCATTTGTCTTTAGTCTAATCTTGTTTATTACTTTTACTTATCAGTACAACTGCTTTAACCAAGACACATTTGCCTATCAAAATAGCTGGTCTCAGTGGAGGTCTGTGCCAGTGAACTATTCATCCGCAACATGCAAAGTATTTGGCCTAACATTGTCTCAGACAGAGAGCTGAGTGTTTCATGGCTACACTATCTTACAAAGCAAAAATGTGCAGTAACTACATATTTGTTCAAAATGAAATGTGCTTCAACATATAATAATTATTAAGTATGTGTTATTAATGTGTAATTTCCTAAAAAAGAGAGAAAAAAACACACTAGCTAGTGAGACACAGCTAGCCTTGGCTAACGTTAAATGTACCCACTTTCTCCTTCCTGTTTCCTGTAACTGAAAAATGCATTTTGAATATCTGACATGATGGTAATTCAACATGGCATCCCACATAAATGAGGCAGTCGCAAACTATGAAATCTCATCATGATGGAGAAAGTTACCAGCGCTATTAAAAGGTAACTAGCCTAGCTTAGCAGAGTAAGCTAGCACCACAGCCTCTGGGTCTACTGGATTTCATGTGATTCAGTGTGGTTAAGCTACTGAAATCATATATTTGAATATATTGAACTATATGCTATCATTTATTATAGTCTAGTTCATTAGTTCAAATGAACAAGAGAAGATATTTTGTTTGTAGATACTGTGTGTCTGTACTGCTCTCCGCCTTTGTAGCACAGTTTAACGTCCCAGTGGAACGGAAATTAGAGCGTCTTTAGCTTCTGTACTGTGATGTATCTTACAGTGAGCCGAATATTTGAGCGGTGAACGGCTACAAGAGGGATTTATATCAAATCCTTCCGGGTTTATTCTAACTTAATATATTCTTTTATTTTGAGAGAATTTGTTTGTATTTACTCTCTTATCTCTTCTGACAGATGCTGGGAGATAATAGATGACAGCCCATGGTGGATCATCAAAACACCTATTTTGGTCACCATACTCGTGAGTCACTCACAACGCCACGTCATGGGCAACATTCTCATATGCAGCTCCTCATAATGCAATCGCATCAATCAGTCTTTCACTCACTCGGCAGGTGAACTTTTTCCTCTTCATCTGTATAATCCGGATTTTGCGACAGAAGATGAATTGCCCCGACATCGGAAGAAAGGAATCCCATCAGTATTCGTAGGTTTTCAGAGCAGACAGCATCTCTATCAAAGCATGGGTTACATGTCATTTCTTATCAGGCGACACTGAATGAATTATTTTTCTGCCGTTATGTTGTCGGCCGTCAACAACCATAGCTGTCTTGCATAGTGACGAGCACTGTCCTGACTCCAGCTTTTGTGGGTGAACACGAATGTTCACTTTTTCATTTTTCTACTTTTTTTTTTAGGAGGCTGGCTAAATCCACTCTGTTGTTGATACCTCTCTTTGGCATAAACTACATAATTTTTGCCTTCATCCCTGACCACATCCACCCACAAGTGAGGATGGTGTTCGACCTCATTCTGGGCTCATTTCAGGTAAGATCACATCCCAGCATGCAAGGTGTTAGTTAGCAGTCTGTCATCTTTCCAAATGTCAGACGTGGCACCACTTTACGATGAATTGAGGGATTTAACGTGCCTAATCCGTCTTTAGAGGATTGCCATCTTGTGTTTTAGGTAAATATTTGTGCCACAAATATGGCACCAGATAGAAAAATGGATGTGATCCTTTGACCCCGTAAAGTTAAAACAGCTTGGTAACATGACGATGGTTTGTCTGATTAAGCAAGTGAGTGTTTTGTTTAGCGGACATGTTTTATATGCTTGAATAACGAGGCCACTGATTTACTGAGTATTAAATTGAATGTGAATGCTGAGAGCCAACTGCAATGATGGAAACCAAGCGATGGAAAGTATTCTTAATTTGTAACCGTTTTAGCTCAGAATGAAAACTCCTGGGAACATTTCCCAGGGATCTAAATGATGAACCTCCTGCCTGAGCCTGAAGTTGAAGTCATAATCTTACCGTCATTATTCATACACAAGCATTTTGAGTGTTTCCCCAGCTGTGCTATCGCATTGGTATTTATTTTCTTTTTTTTATTGGGCGATAAGTTTGATCTACTTCTCTCTTCTTCAGGGTTTTGTTGTTGCAGTTTTGTACTGCTTTCTGAACGGCGAGGTAAGTAAATAAAAAAATAAAAAAACCATCTCTTTTAGATGTTTACTGTCCTTTTATGTCATTAAATCTCATTTTCAGTCCCCGTCCTCTCAACGCCCCCTCTCCATCCTGTTTGTCTACCCTCTGGTCTCTCGTTTCAGGTGCAGGCGGAGATTAAGCGTAAGTGGCGCAGATGGATGCTGCAGAGGTTCCTGGGTGCTGACACCAAGTACCAGCAGCCCTCCATAGGCAGCAACGGCAACAACTTCAGCACCCAGATCAGCATGCTGACCAAATGAAGCCCCACGACACGCCGGGCGTCTGAGTGTCAGGAGCACCTTTCTGCCATCTGAAACCCATCTACGGTTAACTCCCCTCTCTGTTTCTATCATTTGGGTACAGTACTGTACACACACTCGCTGTTTGGTTACTGGAGGTTAATGTGACATTTTAGTACTGACGCTAATATTTGTTCGTTGTAACTTTATCCATAACCTTTAAAAAAAAAAAGACAAGTGACCAGTGTTTTTCCTAGCAACAGTGGAAAGGGCGTCTGAAACCAGTTCCAGAACACGACACCTGTAAATGGTTTGAATCATTTTCTTAAAAGAACGTTTTCACAGACTGTTGTAATGTAGCTTTGATCAGGAAGTAACCGGAGGTTGACCACTCTGACTGGCAGGTATCTGTGTATTTACATATGGGCTAGTCTCACCCTGTTATATAGGCAAACAGACTAGATCTTACAAGGTAAAGCTTTGTTGAGATCACATGATGAGTCAACCCTCCAACTGGCTAGCTGTAAGAAAATCCGTTCTCAGAATAACATTAACAAAGTCTCTGATAACGAACACGCTACAGAATGCTGCGGGCACAAAGATCTTCATGGCTACTATGTGAATTAAAGGGAAATGGAGCTCTTGGCCAGCGTTTTCCATCTGATGTTAAGCAATAGCTGAACAGAGCCAGAGACAAGCTGTGTCCTATAAGAAGCAAGATGTTTATTAAAAGGGTATGTTACACAAGAGGACTCCAAGCACTTAACCTAATGGTCCATGTTGCTGAGGGGACCAATGGTAACATCATTAATGACAATGTCAGGCTGACAGTAGTCGCTGAGGAGGACTCTGTAGCATGACCAACGTACTGGACGTCCCTATCCTGTCCATGACAGTTATACACGGGGCATACACTCTGCTGAATTACTGCCGGATAACATTCCAGAGGAGCCTCTAAAGCTCCCGCTTGTGAAATATATCTCAGATTACAAAGGCTTTTAGTTTTATCTGAGTGCACAGTCGCTGAGCAGACGTTCATTTTTACTGCTTCTGCAACTAATGGACCAGATGTATTCCGTTATTAGTCCACAATACACAACATTGTGAATAAATATGTGGCAACACTGCGTAACTTCCATTAACTGGATTGCATGGACAATTCATTTCATTGTAGTGATTGTTAGCTTTCTGTTCTGTTCTTTTCTATATTTACAGATTTAATAAATGTTATTATTGTTATTGTGTCATACTGTTTGCTTGTAGCAGCATGCCTGTTGATTAGTCGGCCCAATACTTTGGTCCGGACGGAAATATCTTACTATAGGATGGATTTCCATGAGATTTTGTACAGACATTCATTCTCCCCGGAGGATGATTCTTAACGACTTTTTATCTAGCACCACCAACTGGTCAAAGTTACCATCATCAACAAGATGGCTTTTCTTTTCTTTTTACAGACATTCATTAACTTTTTGTCATCAACACTTTAATTAATGACTAGTGACTGCAAAACGAACGACATTCTCATCAGCCTCTGCTACACTTTTGAGTATAGTACTTATTAGCAAACACTTGCATGCTAACAGGCTAAACTAAGAATGTGAACATGGTAAACATATACCCTCTAGACATCAAGTTAGCATTGTGAACATGTTAGCGTGCTGGCATTAAACTCAAACCACTGCCTCACACAGAAGCTAGCTTCGCTGTTAGCTGAAATAGGATTTATCTATTGACTATTTATCTAAGTTCAATGACACCATGCATGATAGTTGTTATTCTCTCTCTCTCTCTCTGTTTAATAATGTTTTCGAACGTTTATTTGAGTCAAGACAATTTCAGACAGTTTACTTTAGGCCTCCTCCTGTACCAGTGTGTGTCAAACTGAAACTAAACTGTAACCAACTGAACGTACCTCAGAGTAACTGTCACACACAGCTATTGTATACAATGTGAGTCTGTAAATAAAGTTCATGTGTTTTGTGTTGAAGACTTGTGTTGAAGACTTGTAGTGCTCAGGTGTCAACTGGAAATCGAAGTTTACATTTGAAACGTTCCTCACTCATGCTATTTGCATCACTTAAGTGTCTCTTATTTGTTGCCATGTACATTCTGTGTAAATACTGTGTACTGTACAGTATGTGGAATCAACTGTAAAGATGTTGAACAAAACGTCAGATGAAGATGAATAAAAATATTTGCCCTGTGGACAGTCCTCTCCGTGTCGTTCCAGCTAAAAGTGAACACACCACTTGCAGCAATACAATCAACCATTTTCTTTATTTCTGCTTTAAATAAAGCAAAAAGCAGGTATGAAAGGAATTTCATGGAATAATGTAACAAAAAACAGATGTACAATGTAATGTAAAGACAATGTAAATCAACATTTTGGCTGTTTTTAAAATTAATTTGATATTCTAATTTATGTCGTTTACCCCTCTAGACTAAACATGTATCTGTCTTCCCCTGCTGTTAAACATAACACTTTTTCATCTTCAGAGACCAAATTCAATCATTACAGTGAAACATTCCGTATAAGTCAATTTTGGGGCCAATGTTCCCAACGAGTGCACTTGTTCACTTCAATGCTACGCCGTTAACCTCCTGGCACCGGCAACAGTTCAGTTCAGTTATAACTTGGTGAGGCGCAGAGTGTTGAGGCGCACTGGAAGAATAGTGCATCCCTCTGCGTAGCTAATCTCTCGCAAGATCCCATTCCAGCACTGATCTGACTCATCGTATCTGTGGGAAACATATAAATATATATATCAGTGTCACCCTTAAAAGAAGATAAGATGGCATGCGATGAAAACAAATGCAATCTCAATGCCGTTCTTCATCTACAGAGAATGATTTGATGTGAAAGAGACTTTGTGGTGTGGCCCCATTCATAATAGTGTATGGGAAGAAGAATGGAACTGTATAGGAAGTTCATTTTTGGAGATAATTCTTCTCTGCATTTTAGACCCCAATCAACTATATGTTTATGTATAGAAATATACCACAGCATACATTGTGACTTGGCTCAGCAGGAAAGGCCCATTAATAATGATGGTTCAGATCCATTTGACTATGCCAGTAAGAGTGAGCCAACGCGCTCAATACCAGGACCCTGGAAGTGGAGCACCTTACTGGAATGCAGCCATTATTGTAAAATATTACAAATCTGGTGTTTATCCCTATTTACCTTATTGTCAACAGATCTCATGAAAAAGACCTAAACCAACAATGCATTCACCTCTTTCCCAATACTTTACCTTGTCTGTGGCACTCAGCCCCAAGCCCATTTGTTCACACTAAAGATAAAACAGGTCATAACATTTCTTTTTTTTACTCTCTAAAAAGACTCAGTAATTTCCTAAAACAGATGGGAACTGTAGTTTTTAGAAGAGATTACTTAAACAGGAGAAAATAGTGGATTTGGGGATCTATTTTCAGCTGCGGATCAATACACATTCGGTGCTTGAGTGAGTATGAAAGGGGCTTCCTTGTTGGAGCTCTATGGCACAGAAGGATACGAGATATCAGGCTTTAGCTAACAGACAATACATGTTAGTATCAATTAATTGTTATTGTATAGTCTTTCATTGGATTTGTTAACAATTAGAAAAACATAGAATACCACCAGATTTATTCTTGAAGGTCATTCATTAAACCTGTGCTTTTCCTTTGGGCAAAGTCTACGAGATGACATTTTCATCTTAATCTGACCGTGGCATCTGATTTCTCTTTGCTGTGTTGTTGTCATTTTTCAAACATGTTTATTTCAAACATTGCAACTGGCCAAATCAGGGGGGGTCCCATGTAATCTTACTGGTAGGATGAAATCTCAGTAAAAATCACATTATAATCCCTCATCACGTGTATTGAGCAGGGGGGGGGGGCTCTCACCTCCAGATGTCCATCATCTCTGTTGGAACGGGCTCCTCACTGGTTTCACTGGGCATCATGGCAAAGCCCCCCACAGCGTACAGGAACCCTCCCATCGACATCAGATTGAGAGAACTGCGCTCCTGAGGGAACTCTGTGAACTCAGACCACCTGGAGCGCAACATGACAATAACACACACACACACACACACACACAAACAGAAGTTATGATGGTGTCAAATAAGCTGCTACATTACCGTTTGACAAGTAGTGCAACAAGTGCTATTTTATGACCTTATAATCTGCGATTCACGCTCGATGAGTCAGCTTCACTACTGTGGACAGATGCTTCACCTCATAACGATGACATAAAGTGGGTCATATAAATAGAACTGTTGTCTCACTTGTTGGTGGCGATGTCGTAGGTTTCCACAGAGCTGGTGAGGCCTGAGTCTGTGACCCCCGTCACCACGTAGATCTGGTCTTGGTGGACGGTGATACCAAACAGGGAGCGGGCCGTCTTCAGAGGAGCCAGGTCCTTCCACTCAAACTTAGTGGGGTTGTAGACACAGACTCTTCTCAGGCATTTCCTGCATGAAACATGTGATGAAGTCTCATTTACCCTGCACACCAGGTTTTGTTATAAAGCAATTCAATGTGTGGACCCAGTTAGGAAAACTCAGATGGCTTGCATATGACACAGAATTTAAACCAAATTGTATAGATTCTAGATTCAGGTACCAAGGTATTACTGCTTTCTGCACAATAATGGAGAAAAACACATTACAAAGTTTTCAGATATTGAAGGAAAAATACAATTTGGAAAAGTATGATCTTCTGGCGCTGCCCCAAAATACAAACATTCTGGCAAAACATTTGGAGAATTATGCAGCATATTCTTGGCCAGCAGATCCTATTCACAAGCAAGTCACTTTATTTGGGCGATCTGCCAGAAGGAATAACAGGAAGTGACAGTTACCTCCTGAAAATATTAACGGTAGCAGCAAAAAAAGCAATTACTCTTAAGTGGCTACAAACCGACTGAAATCACCAAAGAAATTCACGATATGGAAAGGCTGACTTTCCTTCTGAGACTAAGAAAATACATAATAATTGCATAGCAAGATGGACAAAAGTATAAAAAGAAACATGTGATACAGTGTGTTAAAGGGGATCGCCGCTGTTACATGAAGTTCAGTTTATTCGTCTCAAGATTGTATAATGTTTTCTGTGGGGAAAAAAATAACCCTGGAAAAGTCCTAATGATGTCATAAACTGGAGGTGTGGAGTTTAAAATCAATAAAAATTGGTCAGTTGTGACCTTTTCTTAAATCTTTCTATTGTGAGTCCCGCAAATTTAGATAAATACTGAATCACTGGAGTAGCCCTTTAAATATTGATTGGTTTAGGTCCTAAATGTCAAACTATGAGATATCCAATGTGATGCTGTTACAAAATGAGTGATAGAGCAATAAGGAATAAACTATGATTCCCTAAGGATTTGGCAATATGATGGCCCTGTCATGAACTGTAAAATGTCATAGAGGTATTTCTAAATGGAGCCACAGTGATAAAACAAATGCTAAAATATCATACAGATTATAGAGTGCCACATACTTGCTTTCAGATTTTCCTCCAATGACATAGACTAGACCTTCATGTGATATGGTTCCATGGCCATATACTTCATAAGGCAGAGGATCCGACTCTCCCCATTTGAATGACCTGTGAACCAAAAAGAGATGTTACGTCATCATGAATGATTATCGTGAATCTACACACTCACTGCTGTGGTCAAAGCAAAACCATGTATCTCCTAATTTGATATCCACACTTACTGTCTGTCATAGATGATGACTGAGTTCAGGGCGTGCTCACCATCCTTCAGTTCCTTTCCTCCAACAACAAAGATGGAGTTTCCAGCTTCAGTCAGGCCGAACAGACAGCGAGGGTTGGGTTGCGAGGGCATCCCTAACCATTGTGAACTCACTGGGTCAAACTGGGTGTGAAAACAATGATATTTGAAGAATGAGAGGCGCAAGAGTAAAATAAACAAAAAGTGATGTGTTTTTATGTCACAAAGAGCCACACTACCTGCAGGAAGTAGGAGCTGAATGCTTCGTCTTTGTTCTCTTCGTTGTAGAGAAGTCCTCCGACAACAAACACCTGGTTCTCCTTGGTCACAAGGCTGCAGTGGTTCTTGGGGATTTCTGTGGACTCGGAGACCACAAAGCATTCATTTCCTAGCGGGTCATAGGCCACAGTCCCTTTGTCACTGATCATAACAATCAGCTCCAGCTCAAACATCCCAAAGCGAGGGTTGTTGTTGAGTATACCCGGCAGGTACCCTTCCTCCTCATCGTCCTCCTCCTCACTTCCTTCTCCCCCCTCTGCCCCATTACTGCTGGGCTTACTGGGCTTTGGGAGACACCCCTTGTAAGCATCCTTGACGAGATCCAGCTCCTTCTTGATGTCCTCGCTGAACCGCAGGTACTGGTGACTCTCCACTTTCTCTTTGAAGTAATCCAAAGGTATGAGCCTGAAACGGATGCAGTGCAGCAGCTCTGTCAGGTCCTTGACCCGGTTCGTTTCATCATGTCTGACCCAGTCCATCAGGGATTCAAACACCTGCTCCTCCCGCTCAATGTTGAGGGCGTCTGAGGTGATGATGAGGGCCAGCTCGCTCGGGCCCAGCTGCAGGAAGTCCTGGTCCCTGACGACCACCTGGTAGCGCTCGCAGATGAACTCTCTAGCGGTCAGAGCGAGCCTTGGACAATCCAGCAGCAGACCCAGCCTGAAGATAGCCAAGCAGTTTCCCAGCACCAGCTTCTCTTGGAGGTAGGACACACATACTGAGAAGATGGAGGGGATCTGGTACATGTTGGCAACCATGAAGATATCCTGGACATTCTGTTCTGTCAGACTAATTTCAGAGGTGTACAAGTAGCGCAGGATCATCCCCATAACACCCGGCTCCACGTCTTTGAGGACAATCTCACGCTTCTTGCTCTCCTCCAGGTTGGACAGGAACATGGCCTTGAAGAAGGGGCTGCTGGCGGCCAAAACCAAGCGGTGGCAGGGGAACTTCTGGTCCTGAATTTGGAGGACACAGTCCACGAACTTGTCATTCTCCAAGAGGTCACACAGTCCGTCCTGAAGCAGACTCTGCTGGTACATCCGAGGCTGCTCCACCGGGTCTATGGTCAGGGCAGCCATTTTGTTCTGTCTCCTCGTCCCGGTTTAGTTTTTGTGGGCTCCCTACTCTCTCCCCACGACAGAGCAGGACTGCCAGCGTGCACAGGGCTGCTCCGATCGCTGTGGATGGTCTCCACGGGTTGGTTGGCCAGTGGCTGCAGCTGTCCGTGGCTGTCAGTCACACCGGCGTATTTATAGACAGGACCCTCACAAAGCTGAGGAATCCATTTTGGTGGACCAGTCCACTCCTGCACACAAATACCCCCACAAACAGCTGAATTACTAAGCATGGCGGTGACGGCGTGTTAAATCCAGGAGAACGTCTCACCAGGCAGCCTGACTGGCTCTTATTACGGCACTTTGATGTTTTCACACACTTTTTACAACTTTGTGATCCACTATTGATCGAGAAAGTGAATACACTGCGGCTACACTGATGTTAAGCAGTTCACCGTATTACATGTATACATCGGTGGAGGTACAAGACAGTATATGGTGTGTATCGGTAACAGCAGTTCCTGGAACATTAGCATGTTACATAATAAATCTCCTCTGACACCAGAAAGTGGAATAAACTCAAAAGTTTTAGAACAAAACCCACAAACCAACCACTGGCACAACACTTAAATGTATTGTTTATTCACAGCGTCCCCATGAGCCTTCCTCAGGTTACAAACACAGCGTGACACGATTCACCATGTACCACGTCACTTGACACAGGTGTTTCTAATTATTTAACAGGCGATATACTAAATGTGCCCTTTTATCCCTCTTACGTTGATGAAAAAAACAAAAACGGATGGATTGAAATGTCAGGACCAAGACATCTGGTCTCAAGTCTCATTTGTCACAACATATGGAATCAGTGAAGATTATGAGACATGCTCACACATGTTATATATGTGGAATATGTGTAACCACTTTAATCATTCGAGCCAGAGATACATCCAGAGTGATAAACAACACTGGCACCTATTGGCTGAAAATGAGATAGAAGTTGTGGAAGATTAAGTCCACTGCTATTACTCATACAGACACAGGGAATGTCTGTTATTGCTTGTAATTCTGACTGTAATCCATATAATCAGATGAAAGCTCCTTGGTTTACATAAATGTTTGCTTCGAGGATATGACAAGGACAAAATAAGAATGTCTGAACATAAGAGAGGTATCAGATGAGGAGACGTGTCAACTGAAGCCAAACTCTTTGTAAAGACTAACTAAACACAGTTTAACACACACAATGCACATTTTGAGGCTCATGTTAAAGCTAACTGTCCAACTGAAGGGAGATATTAAATATATTCATAATGAATTAAGATCATTTAACAATGTCGTGATCATAATCATTTCAATGTGTGATGTATATCTACTGGGATGTATCTATCTTTCTACTTCTTTGTCTTTACTTTTTCACAGTTTTGAAATTGGACTGTTCTTAAACTTTAAGTGTTTGAGTCATATTTTATAAATCAGTGCCTACACCCATTAGAACGGAACTCTTCAACTTATGAAGTTTTTTGGATTTATATGGTTTTTCTAAAGGGAATCTTTTTGCTGAACTACAGGACCAATAAGGATATAAAGAGGAAACCACAGATTTAACCTTCAGACCTCTCACAATAAAGATCTTGACTTGTCGTGGCAGGAGAAGCACAGGTGAACCTAATAACATTAATTAAAGCTCTGAGCCAGTTCCACCACACCAGTGAGCCAGTATGAAGGTCATAATTAACGCGATCAATTACACCTGTGCAATTCCTGCAAACCGTAAATTATTCCCCGAACAAAAATAAAAATACTTTTAAGTGTTCACGCCTGATATGTTCTTTAACAGTTGAGGAAGACTGTGTGGGTGGACCTTTGATCAACTTTGGTTAAACTGGGCCATCTTGTGGTGATACATGACAACGACTCACTGTCACACAAGTAAAACCCAACACAGTCTTTAGTCACTTATTAAAGCATCGCAATTTTATTGTTTCAGATTTAAGACGGACTGTGCTCACACATCGAAGCAAACAACCATACTTCCACTTTGGTCTCCACTCCATTCTGCTGCAACAAACTTCTATGTCACATTTGGATGAACCAAAACTTTATTTCAAGTCAAACATTTGAAACGAACACCTTTGAATAAAAACCCTACAAATGAGAAAAGGCATTACAATCTTGCATGCACTTTTTTTTCTGTCTCCGCCTGCTGCGCTGACGACAGACAGCAGGCTTTGGTGACAGGCAGGATAAGAGAGTTCACCCATATTCCCTGCTGGGGCCTATTGCCTTTCACAGAGGGGCCTGGATCATGTGAGAGAGGGACGAGGAAAGACATGGTGAAACGTCACACCTACAGTAATAATAGGAGGAAAGCTATCGCTCTCTGGACGGTTGAACTAAGTTCAATTTTTCAAGTTTACAAGAGAGCTAATGCATTCTCCATCCACTTTAACTATTCTATACATTGTGACTTGTATTTTTGCTTCGCGACAGTAGAGCAAATATGCTTTACAATCAGCTGCAAGCTATGTGGAGGACCTCCACAGTCCATACACCCTGATTTCAAGTTTTTAAACCTTTCAGTATGTTAACATTGTGGTGATTAGGCGTCTAAGGCAAAATTAAGTAAATAATTAAAAATAATCATATCTAAAGTGAACAGAGGAGACAACCACACAGATCATAGTCATTCCTTAACAATACTGTATGTCTTTATATATAGTATTAGGTGTAGCATCGTAAAATATTTAGCAGGCCTAGCATTTGTCAAACAATCTTTTGTTCGGTTAAAATACAAAATGCCCCGTCATGGATTTGTGCCAAAGGACGTTGCGATTATCTACAGCAAGTGCACTTGAGGATATTTCACAGTTCAAAATATTGCCTCGCTTCTGACAAACAAAGGCAAAAAAACAACAACACAGGCTTGTGAACAATACAGGTGCTGACTGGCTGTTACAGTCTGGTTAGGTACAGTTCGCAAGGCCGAGGATGGAACAATGTGATGGGGTCTGTTTTTCTGTCAGGTTTATTCTGCTTTTTCTTTGCCCCCGTCCACGGTCTTCACCGGCTCCGGATCGTCCAGCAGGGCTTGTTGTCTCTCCCTTTCCTTCACCAGCTGGACGCCACAGTAGGTCACAAGTAACACAGAGAGGGTGGACAGAGGGAAACCTGGAAGAGAAACACAAAGAGAGGAATGAAAGAGGAAGGGAAGAAGAAAGTACAACTTTAAAGGAATGCAGCTCTTTTTGTTCTATGCCCTTAGTAGATGTTCAACTGAAGATAATCATGTGAACAACCTCTATGTTTGACACTGCTCTGTTGTTCTTTTATTCTACGTCAAAGATCCAAGGGAAAGAAAGCAACAAAGAGGATCTTAAGTTATGTGATATGTGAGGATGGCGCCCCTTAAGATTCTGTTGCTTTTGATGTTTGAGTTGTTCCCGCTTTGACTAGAACTGACAGAAAATACTTTTTCATATAATAAACCTTTGTTATTCCCCACCTTTGAAAATCAGTCGTCTTCCCACCAGTTTGGCAAACCCCAAACTGTTCAGAGAGAGGACGTTGTAGAGGACAATGGTCCAGAAGTTGGCGGCGTTGAACACACCCCGGATCCTGCGTGACATGGCTTCACCCATTGCACCCTATAGGACGCAGGCACATTAAGGGATATGGCACAACATTACACCAAGCATAATGCCATTTATTGACTGCAAGTGATTTTAATCTCAATGTATCTCACCTCTATGGTTGAAAATGGCGGAAAGGAGAACAACTTGGCCACCCACAGCTCAAAGTTGAGGCCGAAGCAGTTGAAAAAGGACCAGATGTAAACCAGCTCACACGGGCCCAGCCACAAGGTGGTGATGGCGAAGGTGCAGAAGGTCGCCAGGAGCTCCTTGAAGATTTTATTGTGATCCCCGCCGATGTAGTCGTAAACATACCTGCAAAATTACGACTCACATTCAACCCGATGAAGGATCAAAATCTCTCTTGTCTACATATACTGTCGGTTCTGTCATTTAAACCCGAGGTTTTAAACTCACTTGCACAGCCAGTCATTGATGCCTCTGTCAAAGTGCCTGAAAAAAAGAATTCAATGTTTAGCATGGGCAACAAGGATTTACGTAATGATTTATTTTTTATGATTACACACAACTAGTGTAAATCCCACGTACGTCTCAGCGAAGACATAGAGCATGGTGATACACTTGGGAGGCTGAGGAGGGTCCAGGTGGTCAAGTGTAGCCACAGTGTTGATGACGCCGAACATTACGGCCGCTTTCACCCAGTCATACACCAGGTTGGAATAAGCCAGACCAGCTGCAAATCAAAGCAAGTACACTGATGCTAGTAGTTGATAACATGAACATGTCAACTTCTAATAAAGAGGTAGATTCTCATGTTTGAAAAAGCACATATGGTTGGAGTAAACATAATGCATAGAACCAACGTAAGATATTAGTCCTTTGTGACCACAGCTACGTGAAAACGGCGCAGAAACGTATATGGAACTCACCCAGACTCCAGTCAGTAAGCTTGGAGACCAGCTTCATGTCACTGGGGATTGTCAAGATGTAGAGGTAGTGGAAGAAGACGTCCACCATCAGAATCACCCCCAGATGCAGCAAGGCCTTGGTGGTGATGTTCCACAGCTCCCTGTCCTTGCGGGTCAGCTGGGTGTTGTTCACCTGTGGAACGCCGTCATTGATTTGTAAAATGATATGACCGCCCCAACATCTCAGCAGACGTTTAACTAAAATTATTCTTATACTAAAAAGGATTTTGAGTGGGCGCACACACTCGATAAACAGACAGCATTCAGAGTCTAAAAGTCAAATACAGCTATGTGGGGAAAGTCATTTCAATCAAAGTGTACATATGCACAACATATTTGTTTTCTGTCTCTGCCCGTGGCTCTAAATTGAATTATACAAACGCACGGCATTATGAGTGGGTGTTACATTAGCCTTAAGGAGTCTGCAATATACACTCATGATTGATAGCTTCATAACTACTGTCACATTTCAGAAGGGCTGCTGCACTTTTTTCCACTTTCGCTCATTTTTCATCACTCTCTGTTGAATCTCAGATCCCCACCTGGGCATGGAACCTGTCGAAAGTCATGATGGGTCCAAAGAAGAAGAAGGGGAGGTAGAAGTTGTATCGCAGCAGGTCGGAGAACGTGTAGCTGCCGTCCTTCCTCTCGCAGTTCTCCAAGGCAAAGCTCATACAGCGCATGATGCTGAAGCCGCATCCTCCATAGAACAGGATGTCTTGCAGGTCGAAAGAGCCGCTCACCAAGGCTTCCTGAGGAAGGACGACATCATCATCATCTATTATCATTATATACATTTGTATGTCATCTTCTAATTCCTGGAAACCACCCGCTCACCTGCCAGGAGTTATAGGGCTCCAGTTTGATGGAGGCCAGCGTGGTAAGGCCGGCCACAAAGCACAGCCACTTCTTCTTGACCAGGGCGACGCTGTAGAGTATGACGCAGTGAGACAGTACCAGAGCCATGAAGGTCCAGCCCATGGTGATCAGCACTGCCAAACCACCGTACACACCAAAGATCAAGGATCTGTGCTGTGGGTAAAGAAGGAGCCACCGTCAGTGTGGCGTCACGACGGGACGACTTCTATTCTTGATTAAATGCAACACTCACGATGAATGGTGTTAGTATAACAACACTACATCTACAACAATGGATATACTTTAAGATGGAAAGATTACACAATGGGGGGGGACAAACAAATCTACCGTCCATGTATTAACAATTTTTAATGAAACACATGACAAACGTTGTGAAATTCACAAGTTTATTAATGTTACCTTACATCCATCAATACCAATCTTCATTGTAAGCATGGAACAAGACAGAAAACATGTTTAAAACAAACTGTTTTAAACATGTCAAAAACACATGTTCACAGGAGAGAATAAGAGGTGCACTCAACAGACAGCATGGCAGTCAACAATGCAGTCAATCACGTGTTAGACCTTGGGGTACATTATATTTTGCTCAATAGAACAGAATAGAGTTACACTGAACTGAACAGAGTTGAATTACTTGTACAGCCCAAGGCCTACTGTTTACATCAGTACATCGCATTTTATATGTTTACACCACATATCATATTAAATCTTAAATTAAAATGTTGTGTGGCCTTGATTAGAGCAAAGCTTGTGTTCAAACACACACATGTATATACACACACACACACAACACGTACATACATATACACATAATAAGAGACATGCCATTACACCTGTACGCAATCAGATCACACTGCAAGCCGACGGGCATTCACAAACGTGCACGCACCTTTGGAGCTAAGAGGGTGAATATCTTGGCAAAGATAACGTGACCCATGAGAGCAAAAAGGATATGATTGCGGAATGTAGAGAACCACATCATCCACTCGAAGTCTGCGACGTCCTGCGGCAAAGGAAGATGCATTACTCTTGATGTCTTTGCATTAGCAGATCTACTTATAGAACACAAGGAGATACTCAAAGGGGATTATATGTGAGCAATTTACCATTTTCCTGCCAAAGTAATGCCATCCTGGTTTCACGCTTTCCTTGAAGGCTTTTCTGTTTATATTCTCTGAATAGAGAGGGAAGAAAAAAAAGGGCATTCACCAAACAAAACGCAATCAGCAAGGTAGTACATTTTCAACTCCTGGCAATTTATGGTAAAGCTTCTAGGTAAATCTAAAATGTAGGCAGCTTCATTTCTGGGTTCTTAATTAAATAATCCTTTTGAGAATCATATAAATAAAAAACAGCTTTGGTGTTATTGTTGGATCGTTCACAATGAATTTAAGGTTTGAGAGCACATTCAGTCCATTTGATAACATCAAACATTACATAAGGTACTGATTGCAAAGCTTTTCTATTTTTGAGGCTGACATCCACACTCATACGGTGATAATCTGGGTGTAGGAGATTAGTTCGCTGCGTAACCTGAGTCAACAGCTAACACAGGAATGATAAGAATGAAAATATGTGTGATAACAATCAGAACCATGACAGGGATGTTGAGACATTCAGTACACGGCAATAAATGAGGCTGGCACGCAGCCCCCCGACAGTAGCTCCTCCGGCTCTGCCTGATTACACTAATGGACATGAAAAAGGGATATCAAAATGTGAGGGTCAGTCAGGGAAAGCCTCTTAATTCTGGGAACACGGCCAAGCTTCTATTACGGGTGTTTTCGGTGCCACTGTGGCATGCAGACCGGAGAGCAGTGTGGATGTCCACGGACTGAGCAGCCAGAAAATGACCATTTCAAGAAAGTCGGAGGAAGAAAGGGAATCAGGAGAAAATGCATGAATGACTCTGCCCTGGTCCATCTGACTGCACAGACTGTGACAGACAGTACCATCCGCCAGATTACAATCAGTCCATTCAGACCAGTGGGTGAAGAGGATAGTTTGAGCGTTTTACTGTCTGAAAACATGCAAAGACTTGGCAGTGTTTCAGAGGGAGAGGTGTGGGATTAGTTGACTCAGTGTAATTGAGTCTTAGTCGGAAATATCTCCATCAGGAAAATAATTAGAATGTAATTGGACCAGCTCTAAATTGTTTTCATATTAATAGGAACATGCAGGATTTCCTGGGGGGGGGGGTCTCTTTCAATTTGCTCAATGAACTTTGTTCTACGCAGTTTTAGGTTAAATTGAGCAGTGTTATAATAATGAATTCCCATTGTCACCTAGTAAGTGATTTTTTTCTGTGAGATGTATTTGGACTGAAGGTGCTGACTGTGTGTTGAGCATCTTACTCATATAGCCACTACGGCAAAAGGAGCAGCTGTTTCTAAAAATGTGCATTCGCTCTGACTCTGATAAATATAAATGGGCTTCAGTGAACTTCAGTACACTCTATAGCGTATAGTCGTGTCATTGTGTGCCTTTTGGACATCTCTTGACATGTCCTGCACTCACCACTTGAAGCTTCAGATATCCAACTGCCTGCCCATATCAAGGCCACGCCGAGCACGGCTGTGTAGAGATACAGCTCATATCTGGGGAGGGCAGCCTTGATCCCCATGGTGAACCTGTGAACCTGGAAGCCCAACGGGATGGAAAAGCAATCAGCCACACAACATTAGACCTGACTGAAGTCAAACAGTAAAAGTATGAAGAAGAAAACAAACACAGACATATCTGAAACCAGCAATGCATGATTGTGTAAATTGGAGTAAGGGATTTATCGAGTTTTATTGAACCAGTGTTACCTTTTGTTTTTCTCCAGATGTCACTGATTATTCTGAATGAAAGTGTTACGTTTCAGTTAGGGCTGAGACAAGCCTGCACCTTGACGGCCTCCTCTTAATAATACATGCTTGGGCGTATAGCAACAAAAAGGTTTTGAGGCCTATACACAGTATGTAAATTGTTCACTTTATTCACCATTCATATAGAGTCCCTGGGCAATGCTTTTACAATATACTCACTGAAGAAGAAAAAAACAGCCTATGCCACTTACAAAATCTACACACCCACAACAAAATCTCATGATGGGGATTAAATGTAAAACTCCTTGTTCCAAAACACACCCACACAGGTTCAACGTGACAGATGCCAGGTGTTTTAAGGAGGTGACATTTTACTAAAAGGGCTTTAGGATCCACGGGGCAGTGACTTAAATAGTACTGCAGAGCTCTGGCTCCTCGGAATCAGCACCGTCAGCTGCGCAACCCTACCTCTCCTTCCTATTATAGCTCTAGCAGTTGGTCTTGCTGTACAGCGGGGCAGCTGCAGTGCTATGTGATCTCCGAGAGGCACCGGGGACTCGCTTCAAAGAATAATTAGCACGGGCTGGAATGACCAAGAATGGTGCATGGGAGAAAAAAAACAGATAGACAGTTACTTTCCAGTGGGGAATAACGCACTTGTACCTGAGTATGTGTGTGTGTGTAGACTATGTGTGTGTGTGTGTGTGTGTGTGTGTGTGTGTGTGTGTGTGTGTGT